AGAGAGAGAGAGAGAGAGAGATAGAGGGGGGGGAGAGAGAGAGAGAGAGACAGAGAGAGACAGAGAGAGAGAGAGAGAGAGAGACAGAGAGAGACAGAGAGAGAGAGAGAGAGAGATCTAGAGCTGAGTCAGGGTGTATAGAAGAGGAGGGTCAGGAAGAGGAGGAGGAGGATAAGAAATAGATGGAGTATGAGAGAGGAAGCGAGAGAGAGAGAAAGCTGTAGGGTATGAGGAAGAGGAGGGGAGGAGGGGATGAGAAGGGAGATAGAGCCAGTGAGGGTGTGAGGAGTGAGGAAGAGGGGGAGGGGGAGGAGGAGGAGGAGGAAGAGGAGCAGAAAAATTCCGGCAAAGCACTACACGTTTCTAGATGCAAAAATTCCCTGCCTTCCCCGCCATCACGGAACCGCGCCGTCTATTTTTCCGAATGTTTCATTCACGGAACAACAGACAGATCCGACAGCACCCTTCGATTGCGGAAACCGCGGGAACGAACGAACAACGCGGAACCTACACGAACAACGCGAACGGACGAACCTTCCACTCGTGGTACGTTCCGGAAGGTTCCGTCTGGTAGAGATGCGGACTCCCGTCAATGTCGAACCCGGCTATCAACGCTGAGATGCCGAACGGACGTCGTCCGTTACTCTGCGTGTATTTCTGGCGAAGACAGTGGCAGGTCGGATCAAAATTACACGCCGAGATACTAAATTATTGTATTAATTAATATTATTATTACTATTATCAATAATTCGCTAATATTTCTGGTGCAGATTCGGAGGAAATGTACGGATTAGATAAAATTACATGCCGAGATACGTAACATTATAATTAGCATAATATTTCTGGAGTAGAAGGAGCGAAGGTGCGGATACGATAAAATTATGGCCAGAGATACCTTATAATATCAAATATATAATTAGCATAACTAACATTTCTGGGCAAAAATTTAATAAAAATTACACGCCGAGATTCGTAACAGTATTAGGCCTATATATGTGTAATGCAAATATATATATTACATACATACATACATATAATATATTTAATATATATATATATAATACATACATACATGTACAGTGTACATACATACATACAGGGTTCGAAATTAACACTCGCACACTCGCAAAATGCGAGTGGATTACCGAAATTGCGAGTAGAAAATATAAGCACTTGCATTTTTGTGCGAGT